TTTTTTTATAAAAAAAAATGTTTTCAATTTTAATGTTTTATTTAGATTAGATAGATAGGATTTAAGACATTTTAATACCAATTAAGGCCTTAATTTTATTTTAAAGAATTCAATGCCTTTTAAGACTTTTTAAGGACCCGCGGGAACCCTGATCCTGCCTGATTCTCTAACTTCCCTTTTCCATCCTGATACAAACCTGGAAATGTCAAAGAGCCTCTATGGTTTTTAAAGAAAACACATAAACTCTGTAAAAAGGTTTTTTTAGGCTGTTTCAAAGCCTGAACATATTAGGGAGTTAGCATGGTTGTTTAATTTGGGAATCAAAGGAGTTTAAAAAAACTTAATTCAAGTAAACAAACTCATGTGATCTCTGAGGTAGCATCTAAGTTTGGATCGTCTATCACGTTCTGACCTGCCCAGGCTCCAGAGTGATGATGTGGGCCCTGGCCCCCTTAAACCAGGGGAATTTACTCAGGTCAGGGTGAAGAACGTCCACCTGACTGAAGATGCTGGACTCCTCAAAAGGGATCCTGGTTGGATAAAGCTTTGCTGTGTCCTCCGGAGGGAAAAGATGCCAGCGTTTCCTGTAGAGAAGGGACAAAAAAAAAAAAGAAATAAAATAAAAATCAAAAAATGTAACTTCTCATAGTGGTCAAATTTTGGTAATAAAAAAAAAACTAATCCAAAGTTCAAGTCTTCTCTGAGAAGTTGAAATATGGCAAAAGTAGCTGTAAATCTGTCAGAGCCAAACAATTTCTTCAAACCTAAAACTTTGATTATATTCCCTCTATAGTTTAAGAACTATTTGACTTTCTTGCGTTTTCTCCTTTGATCTGATCTAGCAAAAGGCCAAACGTCACGGTATCTATCAACACTGTTGTATTTTCATAGATCAGCAGAGTCGAAGGACTGCTGGAGCAGCGATTCATTGCTTCTGAGATCGATACCACATAGAAGGAACCTAAGACCCAATTACAAGCATGACACACAACTGTTGCTCAGAACAGCAGAGAAAGATAACGCACACCTTTTCTTTTCCATTTCTTGGCTTGCTCTGCCCCGTTACTGTGGCTCCCCCTCTAAGTCTCCACTTTCCTGCTCCTCTGGAGAGCAGAGGGACAAATTAAATCCTTTCCAGAGGGCAGAGGACAGATCAAACAGAGTGGCAGCAGCTGCAGCGCTCTTCGCCTTCGGTGCTGCAGAAGAGTTAGGCACTTGAAAATACTTTTCCCCATCGACGGTGTTGAAATACCAATGAGGAATCCTGAACCCTCTTTCCCCTCAGTTACAGGTAAATACCTATTAATAAACTTTGGACCAGTCGGATTTTTGCAGAGGCTCTGAGAGACAAGCAAGTCTCTCTGGCATTGATTTAGATATATACAACAACGATTAGTTTGAAAAATCACAACTACCTTCAGCCAACAAAAGTTTAAATTTTTTAATTGGAAAAAATGTTAAAATATATTTTTCGATAGAATTAAACAATATAATTAAAAAGCACTATTATATTTCCGAACAAATACTCCTTTTAAGTACATTTTATTGCCACATTCTGGTTTATATTTTCATCTTAAGTAAAAAACTTTTAAAAATTAATATACAGTATCTATACAGGAAAATGCTTACATTGTGTTTAGGGATTAACCTGAAGGACATTCTGCACTGGAACTTCCAGTGCAGAATGTCCTTCTTCCAGTTCAACCAAGCTTCCAGTCTGGAAGCTTGGTTGAATTCCTACGTGATGCAGTGTCAGTAGGTAACTACATCAGAGAGCTCAAAAATCACATGTGGCATCCCCCAAGGGTGCATCTTAGGGCCCCTTCTATTCAAATCTACAGTCTCCTCCTACCTCAGAACAACTGAAGATACCATAACTATACAGATAAGACTCAGCTGTATATTACGAAATCATCAGGTGTCTATGAACCCATTCAGGAGCTGGGTAGACATAGGGGAAATATAAATGCGTTGGTGTGCCAAAATTTCCAGCTGAATTAAATAATAGTTTTTGGACCCAAAGCAGGGTCTTAAACAGTTTGCACACAACTTCAGTTAATGCAGCTACACACCATCAATCAGGCTCTAAATCTGGGTTTAGCAACGGACTGAGACCTGAACCTTCAGGGTTAATAAAGACAGTAACAGAGTCAACTTTTTATAACCCAAAGAACATCTCCAGGATTAATGGATTAATGTTTTAGCAGCCTAGGCTGATCTGAATTTAGATGGTCCTAAATTTGCTCCAGTTTGGGTCGGTATAAAAGCACAATCTTATGTGCACCAAACCAGTGCAGCCTAAAGGGCTGAAATCTGGAGCGCACTAGTTTATGTCTGGGAAAAAAACATCCGGAGCGATAATTAATTGCTTAAAGAAATACAGGGAACACTCAAATAACACACCCTAGATCTGAATGAATGAAATATTTATATGAAAATCAAATTTATTAACCAATGAGGCCTGGATTTGGAGTCGGTTGTCGTTATTTACGCTAGATGAGGATCTTGCAGTGCATGTTAAGTACCATCAATCTGCACCTTCTCAGATATATTTCCATATCGTCTCCAGTGCATCAGCATATTGTTTTAAGGCTTCAGCCAAGTTTTATTTTCGAACTCTATGGTTGCACATGCACTTTTTACAGAGAGTAAAAAGGAGCAATCGTCAAATAAGATTAGGGCAAGGTTCTCAAGCTTTTCTTGCCAGGCTCATCTTCAGATCATAAGACTGTTTGTAGAGTTTTCATCCTTTCCTCCCCAACATATTTAAATAGAAATCCTAAAATCCTCTACGGACATAAAACAGATATTTCTAGAGAAAAGGTTTTACCAAGGGAACCAGCATATACCACAGGATGACCAGAGACTTAGAGACAAAGAAAGAAGATGAGGAAGGGAAGCAGGAGGGGAGGGAAAGATAGGAGGGGAAAAGTTATTAAAAAAGTAAGGATGGAAGAAAGGGGCACAGGAAGAAACAATAAGAATGAACATCTGGGAGGAGGGATTTCAAAGGAGGGGATGGGATAAAAGTAAATGAAGGATAAAAGGAAGGAAGGAAAAAAAAGTCAGGAAACAAGGTAGACTAGAGACAGATGAAGTGAGGGTCAGAAGAAAAGTGGACAAAGCTAGCCTGCCCAGCCAGACTGATACGATCTATACACGGCGTATCAGTCTGGTAAAGCGTATCAGTTCCAATTCAAAGGTGGAACTGAAAGGGTCAGTGTCATCAGTTTAGAACCAATTGAATTACGCTCTGTGTAATTAAGGCTGGCTGGCCAGGCTAGGGCACAGCAGGCTCCACTTTGAGCAGAACATCAAGCCAACAGTTGAGCCTTTCTTTGATTAGTTTGGGTGTCCTTCGTTAATCTGATGTAGTTTCTATGAACCCCCTGTGTGCTCCTGTATATAGTAGCAAGATATCTAGTTATTTGGTAGGCAGATTTTTAAAGCAGTAATCCAGTCCTTTATTACACGTTTGAGTTATTTCATTTACCAATATCAAAATATTTGTAGCATATTTTTACTTTGCATTGATTTGAACTCTCCTTCATCTCCTAACCAGAAGCAGGGGTAATAGTTTAGGTCCAGGGGTAATAGTTTAGGTCCAGGGGTAATAGTTTAGGTCCTGTACGAGCTGTGGGTAGTCCCATGTCTCTGTAGGTTAAAGTGTCCCCTCTTACCGTCCTTGAACCTGCAGCACCAGGTTACAGCCGTAGGTGTCCAGATGGCACGGCGTGTTAGCCCCCTCTGTCCCAATCCACAAAGTGCTTTCTTTCCCGTTACGTCCTTCAAAGCCAAACTCAGACCACTTAACATCCTAGAGAAAAAAATTGTACACATCACATTTATAAAAAAAAGTAATGAATTTACATTAATTTGGTCATCGAGTGATTCAAAATATAAAAAAAGGCATATACTTCTCACCAGAGTTGTAACTCTGTTATCGCATTTCTTATATATAAGCAGTTAAAGGGTCAGTGTCAGGATACAAAAAAGGTAACAGATAAAGGTATCTAAGTTAAAAAAAAACAACAAAAAACTTGGCAGTTACAAGCTGTCAAAGCAAAAATAATAAATCCCACAAGGACCCTGAATAATGAAGTTATTATCCTACATGCAAGCTGCTGGAAGTGACAGACTGGCCAATTTATCCTTCTGGAAGCCTTCCTACCAGCTCCATTATCCTGTTAAGCCTCTGGGTGCCTGTCTCATAGCCATAAATGTCAGTAGGTAATAATTACACGTGGAAGTCCAATGAAAATTTATCATCCAGTTAAAAAAAAAAGAAATCAATTCTGGCCATTTCTTAAAAAAGGATGACATTATTATTACATTTCCGAGCAGAGGAAGGGTAAAGAGTAAGAGTACCTTTACTAAAAAACTACTGGAGGGGAACCTAACATTTTAAAAGAAGATGTCAAACAGGAAGTGAAAATGGAACCAAAGCTCGGAACTGCTATTTTGGGTTAATTATTTATTTTACAAAGAGGTGAGAAGGCTGAAGTTAGCAGCATATTCTTTTTGTCAAGCAAAGGCTTAAAGGGATCCATGACTAGTTGAATAATTTTGGCTTAAATATGTTGCTAGATTTGTATTAACTTCATAAATGCTGTTTGTGATATGTAAAAATAACAACTTTTCTAAAAAGAATAATACATCCATCCATCCATCCATCCATTTTCTGTCATGCTTATCCCAAGTAGGGTCACGAGGGGTAAAAATGATACATCCTCTGTTATATTATCCACCTATGGAGGATTTTTAACTGTCCAATGCATGCTGGGTTGATGATGCGGTTGGACTATCTTCTGCAACGCTTCTTTCGCCTCTCTGCCTGCGACTACACGTCGGAAGGTTGCAAACCCGCACAGACCTCAAGCGGACGTGCGCAGACAAAAAGCAGCTGTGATTGGTCCTTGGTATGCCTCCCGGCTGTCTGTGTGGTCGTTCTCGATTCGGTGCTGGGGCGCGCCATTTTTACAAACGGAGGAGTAATAACAACAATGGATAACCACAACAAAAGGCTGATTGAGGAGGTTCCGAAGTACAGCCACTTGTACGATGCCTCAGACATGTTGTTTTTAAATATAAACACTCCCCTCGGTGCCGCTGAAGAAGTTCTCGTGAGTTCTTGAATAGGCTCCCCCTTTGCACTTTGGCGGGAAACTGCAGTGCATCCCTAGAAATTCCAGACCGATGTTGCAGAAGCATACCAGCAAAACTGGTTCGCGACCAGACACAAGTGACATTTGATGTGTGTGGTTGCAGAAGTATAATCTGCCCTTAAGGCCAATTTATGCTCCTGACGCATAGCCTCTGCAACCGTCAAATCTGTCTCTGTACTACAACCGTCATCGTGCACCTCAAAAAAATCCTGACTACGCGTCGGACGGTCGCAAACCCGCACAGACCTCAAGCGGAAGTGCGCAGACAAAAAGCAACTGTGATTGGTCCTTGGTAGTTCTCGTGACCATCCGCCAAAGTTCTCGGGAGTTCTCGAATAGGCTCCCCCTTGCGCTTTGGCGGGAAACTCCTGTGAGTCCCTAGAAATTCCAGACCAACGCTGCAGAAGCAAACCAGCAAAACTGGTTCGCGACCAGACGTGACATTTGATGTGAGCGGTTGCAGAAGTCTAATCTGCCCTTTATTTTGCAAATGGACTAATCTGAGGAATATTTTTTCGACAAATGGATTAATAATCGCATAGCAAAAGGTTTCTTAAAGTAGAGTTTTTTTCTAAATTAAACCAGATAAAACTAAAACTTTTCCTCTTGAGGAGTTCTGGACAGAGCATACTGACACACAAAACATTTTTTTTTTTATCTTAAATGCAAAATGTTATTAACTTACTAATTAAATCATAACTTACTGCTGTAATTGGGTTTCTCTATCAGCTAAAGACATGTTTTAGAATCTCTATACTCCAATTAACGATGAATCGATTACTAAATTAGTTGAGGATTATTTCAATCACGATTAATCCGATTAATTGTTTCAGCCCAACTCTTTCTACATTCTCATCAATTTAAAAGCACTCTGGTTTAAACTGAAAATATGTAACAATACTAATTCCTATTTTTACTGGACAGGGCTAGCGCTACAGGACCTGGCACACATCATTTCCTCAGAATGCACTGCAATGTAAACAACATGGCGACATACGTTTGACATGACAATATTTTTAAAAATCAATTAAAACTAAAAAAACCTTTAGCATTTTACAATACAGTATTTTTCCTGTATTGTATTTACATAAAATAATAAATATTTCTTAAAAAAAAGTATTTTGTTACAATTCACCCCACTTTTCAAAATTCAGGCCTGAAAGACCGAGATCGCCACGTAAGAAGGTTGCTTTTGTGATCGTTTAAGCTTTAATTCGGTCAGATGTTTTTCAACATTATACAGTTAAAAGACCCAACATTAACCTTTTTCAGATTACCAGTAGAGTCCACCAGAATGTTCTTTAAAATCTCCAGACATTTAAAGTTTATTTAGAAAAGCAACAGGCCCACAGCATCACGCCACATAAGATGGAGCTCAGGCATTGCCAGATTCTGGCAGCTTGGAGATAAAGCTGAGAAATGGCTCCTTCTCAGGATTCGTTTTTTTTTTTTTCAGCCAAAACAGAACAAAAACTAAGGGTGATTATGGGACACATTTTTGAGTCAGGTGTTGACATATGGACAGAAGAAAAGGAGCTCATACAGGAGGTCATACAGAGGTTGCTGCTTTCCATCTTTACAGGTAAGTTAAATATTAATAGACCTGGTAATCAGCATGCAAACAGTACAGAGTGGCCTTTTACCCCACTGTACTGCATGTTTATGCTTTCCATACTGCCAAACACCTGACTTTAATACAGTAGTAAGAGGCTTCTGAAGCCCTCAGGGGATGGAGGAGGTAGCAGTTTAGAACATTTAGGACAGTGGATTCTGAGGAATGAGAAACAAATAGGACAGGTTGCTTACCTCGAACATGAAAGGTTGTTCTTTAAACAGCAGGCTGATGTACTTGTAGTCAGCATAAGCCCAATACTCTGTATAGGGGTATTCAGAGAAAGGCCCCGCATCAGTCTGATGCAGAGTCCAGCGCAGGAACTGAGCCACTGTTGCCTCGACGTAAGAACACTGAGTCTCAAACAGGGGAGCTGCAGAGTGGAGGAGAGAAGCAGCAAATAAACACGACAGGGAAAGGCAATCAATGGAGAGCACTGGAGACTGAACTGATTATGTCAAAAGTATTACATAAAATATCAAATATGAGGTGATCTCAGCACTTTTTCACGTTTAATTTAGTTTCCAATTAGCTCAGATCTCCTTAATTTTGGGAGATAAGTCGATAGTCTGATGTTGAACCGTTCTTATCCATTAATCTTATAGACTTTTGCAAAGGTCTGAAAATCAGCCAATGTCGATGTGTTTTACAACTTGAAGGTGTAATGTATCAACTGTTAATGTTGCTATGGGTCTGTCAGGCCTTTTGAAGATCAGTGACGGACATCGCTTCACCCCTTGTTACTAGGGTTGTCAACGGTTCATACCCTGGGCGTGCAGGTGGCGCAGCGGTTAGCGACCCATGTACGCAGGCCTTAGTCCTCGATGCGGCCTCACGGGTTTGAATCCGACCTGTGGTCCTTTGCCGCATGTCTCTCTCTCTCACTCAAACTCCTTTCCTGTCAGCTAAATGTTGAAAAATTGAGCCACTAGTGCCATAAAAACTGAAAAAAAAAATGATTGATACCCTTTAAAGTATCAACACTCAATCGTGTATCCAGACAAAATACTAATTTCTATTATCATTATGTTTTCTGCATATTGTTACTGTTATTATTTCTAAATTTCTAGATTATTTGCATATAAAAAATAAAAACAAACAACCTAAAAATATTGTAAAATTTTGTTATTTTTGAGTTATTTTACATTGGTAGACTTATTTAACAAATAGAACCTGTGATTCTGTTCAGAAAGCAAGTTGCATGTTGAGATTGTAAAAGGTAGGTTTTTTCATGTTAATAAATTGTTTTTTTATGCCGTTATTTGCCCCCTTTTTTTTATTCTAATTGTATTAAAAAAGGTACTGAGTATCAAATATTTTCCTGAGTATCAATACTGAGTTTAAAAATTTAGTGTTGAGAAAAAAAATATTAGTAGTAATGTTTCACAATAGGGAGTAGGAATTTTCTTTTTTTTTCAAATGGCATCAAATTACTCCTAAAATTTTACAGAAATAATGCAAATTTTTTTTTGGATTATTACCAATTGATTGCAAACAGAAAGGTAAGGAATCACATTTAAGTAAGTATTTAAAGCCCAGACTGAGCACAGGTAGCAACTTGTTATAATTTATGTCACTTTATTATGGAGTTAATTTTATTCTATTGTTGTTGCAGGTAAAAGATCCGTTCTTTAAAAATCAAACACATTTAGTTTATGGATATTTAAAAAAATAAAAATAAAAATGCAATCCAGAAATGTTACTTTGAAAAATGTCATGGTTAAAAAAAAATAATAAAAAAGATTTTCACTTAGCCGAAATTTATTTTTCACATTTTATTTGACTAAAAATAAAAAAGTTTTCTATTTTTAACAAACTTCTCTTTTTCAGATTGTCTTTTATGATTTGCATTCTCTTCAAACTATGTTTTACTAATTATATTTTCTTCACTTCTTTAAAACAAAGCAATTAAACTTACTATAAAAAAAAAGAGAAATAAAAGAAAAAAAAAGAAAAAAATATCAACTCAGAATAAAAATAAAATCTAATAAAACAGCAAAGTCAATCTCAAAACAATTTTTTAATTAAGTTTATTAAAGTTTATTTTCTGGATTGTATTTTTAATATTTCCAATAAGAAAATATTTTCTTCACTTGCAGCAATAATGAAACAAAATCGAACCCACAATATATACATGTAGTGAAAAGAAAATCATATAGTATTCCATGCAGTCCAAAGGTTTCATTGAAAACTACTTTTAAATCAAGTTGAGATCTAATCACCAGTTTATTGATAAGACATGCATGATATAATAAAAAAAGAGAAAGAAAAAAAAAACATTTAAAATTGAAAGAAAATTGCTACAGCAACTATGTTTAATATTTGCTGTTTCTCTTTCTTTATATAAAAGTAAACAGATTATGGTCTTATATTATAACTTTTATAATTTTATATATACTAAGACTTAGATTTATTTGTAATTTGTTTACACAAGTGTAAAACAAAAACAAATTTTTTTTGGAACATCACTCTGGACAATTTAATCTTTTTTTTTTAAAGTGCAGCCTGGAAACATTTAAAAAAATATATATAAAATCAGAAATATAAAGATATGACTGTACATTTACAGTTCTAATGTTTTCATTTTTAAAAATATATAATGATAAAATATAATAAAATAAAATACAATAACCCATTTTACAATATACAATGATTTCATGAAATAGTAGTATTTACATCACTGTTATTATAGCATTAGAATCTCAAATCCACCCATGCCTAGCTAACTTGAATCCAAATTAAGATTTTATTTTATATGTACAAAATTTTAGTTATCTATAAATCAAGTTCTACAATATCAAGTATTATTATTATATCAAATAAGTATCTTTTGATTTTAAAAGCAAAATTTCTTGGACTGCTTGGCCACCATAATATAAAGTTATATTATACAAACTTCTAAAAACGGGTAATTCAAAAATTGTGTTAAATGTGCAAAAAATATTCGTCATATTAAGCAAAAGAAAAAAAAAAGATAATTACATAGGTGCCACAAAATAAATACATATTAAGTGTTTTTTTTTATATTTGTACCTTCCTCTGCAAGCAGCTTTAACTTGGTAAGAACCAGAGTAAGCCCACTGCAGTTTAAGCTCCAACTGATTTAATGTTAAACATCCAGATGATGTATTACTCAGGATTAGGACCATGCACCTGAAGGGATTCATCATCCATTCTTACCATTGGTCGCCTCTTTTCTACCAAGCCGGAATCGGATGAGCCTCCCTCCGAGGCAGCCTGACAGATGCTCTGCAGTCCAATGCATTGCAGGCCAACCGTGGGTCATGTTCAGGAAAACTGCAGGATGGTGCAAATGATCCAAAACCCATCTGGTCTCCTCTGGGCTGAAGGGTTTAATGGGGGTTATGGCAGCCATTGCCAGAGGTGCACGCTATTAACATTTTGCAATATAGGAAGAAAAAAAATAAGGTATTAGCTGAGTCAGCATTTAATATCTGGAACAGAATATCTGCTATAAAAAGGAACTGATAACAAATCTAACAGTTATGACACAATGTGTGATATATAGTGTAAAATGTACCTGTAAATATAACAGTCTAGTTCCATACATCTTAAAACTTCAGGCACAAAAAGACCTAAACTGTAAAACAGCTGATTTAAAGGAATAGTTCAGGATTTTGGAAATTAATTTTTGTGGAACGTTCACCGTCTGTAGCTAAGATGTAGCCGTGTCCCTAACTTTCTCCTGCTATGAGAAACCGCAGGCAACGTACCAGAGAAAAAGTACATCTAGTACGACACTGGGGCACAAATAATCCAAGGTTTTTAAGCTAACAATACTATGCATTTCTTTTGCTAGACTATTTCAACAATTTCAACACATCCCAGAGCTATGTAAGACCTTGACATGACTTAAGAAATTATTTTTTGGGCACTATCACTCCACCGTGTACATGTATAGGAAAGACGGGTTCTGTGAACAGAAATAAACGAAACAGCTCATCAACGGCTGGCAGAAGAAAAAACTCAGTACAGACAATGGAGGGGAGGTGAGATGGCTTTCTGACGCTCAGTTTGAGCAGATGTTTCACCTTCCCTCTGTTGTCCATAGTAGATCTTTCCGCAAGTCTTGCAAATTGCTTTAAACACGCCGAATAGTTAAGAGTTTCTTATAAAAGTGAATTATTAAGCCATTAATGCAATACAACTACATACTGTATATATTGTATATATATATATATATATATATATATATATATATATATATATATATATATATATATATATAACTACAGCATGAAAACCTTCTCAGGACACATTACACTACACCCTCATCTCAGCTGTTGCAAACAAGCTTTTTTAAACCAAAATGGAAGATAGAGAAAATAGTGTTGACAAAGCATGAATTGCTGAATGCTCTTAAGAGGCCTGTAAATGGCTTTTTTTTTTAATTTTTTTTATTTAGCCCTAAAAGGACTGTTTTGTTGTCCTACCTCCAGCGGAGACACCAATCTGCAGCAGCTTCTCTGAGCTCCAGAAGGCCATCTCATGCTCCCTCTGTTGTTGGTAGTGGATCCTTCCGTCAGCCATTGATACGCTGTTTAGTTTATTTGTGTTCACAGGAACTGGCTTCTGCTAGCCTGATAAACCAGACTAAATGTGAGATTAACTGTGTAATTTAGTCTCGCCCCGACAAATGAGACATCAGAAGATTGTGGAGGAGAACAACCCGTTGTTTTTCAAAGCATGTCTGTGCCTATTGGCCAACGCTCTGACCAATGAGTGCAACTGACTGTGACGTAGTAAGTGCGACAGAAAGCTGGTGGGGGAGTGTAAACAAACAGCCTGTCGGTAAAACAGCGAATACGTCCATCTTAAAGATGAATGAGCGTAGAGCCTCTTCCTGCTCACGTTTCAACAAAAATCCCAAGTCTAATCCTTCCAAAACTGATTCAAAGCTGAGTCAAACGAGAACTGTTCAATCATTGTTGCCATCTTCCTTGTTGTGCTTTCTCCAGCGTCATGCAGCTTTGTTGTCCCGCCCTTCAAACCCTGCCCGCTTTGCATCCAGAAATTCAAAACATATCTCTGTGTTGTGATTGGCCCGCCAGTTCTGGGGCCTGGGGCGTTGATCGAGGCTAGACCACTCGCAGGCAAAAATGATTTTGGCCGCTGGCGGGTGGGGCTAGTTTACTAGGCTAGTCTTCTGCACCTAGCTGATGGAGTGATAGCGGCCAAAAAAAATAGTCCTGATTGATATCAAGGTCTGACATAGCTCTAGGATGTTTTAAAATCATTGAAATAGAATAAGACACATGCATAGTTGTTCTAGCTTGAAAATAATTTGTGCTTCTGTACTTTTACTGGAACTAGTGTTGCACCGATGCCATTTTTTGTCACCGATACCAATGCCCGATGCCTTGCTGATCAGTATCGGCCAATACCGATACCATACCGATACCATCCGTTTGAAATTGATGTGTGTGTGCATATATGAAGAAAATAGTGGTGTGCCGATGCCGATACCACTATTTTAGTGCTGTACCAGGGCCCCACCCGATACTGGTATCGGTGCAACACTAACTGGAACTGCTTTTTTTTCAGTAAGTTACCAGGCTTTTCTTATAGAAGGAGGCTTGGTGAGGGTGGGACACGGTTACATCTCAGCTACTGACTGAGAAAGTTTCACACAACTTCATCTACAAAAACCTTTACTGTTCCTTTAAGCTATGTCTTAATAATTGATTATGTTTTTTAGGGAAATGTCTATATATCTTGTGGAGATAGATGGTTAAAATATAAATTCCTTATAAATGTCAGAATATTTTTTGAAAGAAATCTTGGAGCCTATTTGTCTTTACATTTACAATCTGTATTTAAAACCACTCATCTTTGGTCATGAGCTATGGGTCATGACCAAAAGAATGAGATCCCAGATACAAACGGCTGAAATTACTTTTCTCCGTAGTGGGTCTGGGCTTAGAGATAGGGTGAGGAGCTCAGTCATCCGGGGAGGACTCAGAGTAGAGCCACTGATCCTCCACATTGAGAGGAGCCCTTTGAGGTGGCTCTGGCATCTGATTAGGATGCCTCCTGGACGTCTCCCTGGTCAGGTGTTCCAGGCACATCCCACCGGGAGGTGGCCCAGAGGGAGACCAGGACACGCTGGAGGGACTATGTTTCTCGGCTGGCCTTGGAGCGCCTTGGGATTCCCCCGGAGGAGCTGGCCCAAGTGGCTGAGGAGATGGACGTCTGGGCCTCCCTACTGAAGCTGCTACCCCCCAAGACCTGACCCCGGATAAGCGGAAGAAGATGGATGGATGGATGGATGGATGGATGGATGGATGGATGGATGGATGGATGGATGGATGGATGGATGGATGGATGGATGGATGGATGGATGGATGGATGGATGGATGGATGGATGGATGGATGGATGGAAAACATTGGCATGACATGGGAGTAAAAACCAAATAGTTGTGATTGATGAAAAAAATATATCCTATATCTTAAATTGTTGCTCTTCAAATAAAGTACAAACAAGAAAAAAAAGAAACCAGGACCAGGTGCTAAAAAACCCCCAAAGTACAAAACAAAGCAATAAAAATTTCAATTAGAGCAAATAAAATGAAATGAGTGAGCCCACAATTTTTACAGGCATGGTGGCGGGAGGTTAGTAATGTGTGCTTCTATCACTTTGCAACCAGAACTGGGGAAACCACTTCTACTAATAAAGTTAGCGTTACATTTAGTAATTTAACATATTTATTATTGGATGATTGTTTCAATGTGTTATCCACTTCAATCTAAGAAATTTTTAAAATATGTTTCTGAAACAATTACATTTATTTTACAACATCTAACCTCTTGAATAATAATTGCTTATTTTAGCTCATTCTGGCTGAGTCTTGATTTTGATTTCCATTTACCGTAAACCAGTCTTACAAATTATAAATTGAATAACCTGCAAAGCTAAACTCAATTTTGAATTTCTGCTAAAGACACAAATTAATTGTGCAGACTGTATGTAGTTTCTAATGATGTTCTGAGATGGGCCGAGGCTTCGAGGCGTGCGTCGATTACTGGAAGGGCTCTTTTCGCGAGGCGCGTATCGAGTGCTCGCTTTATTTGAGGGAGGAGCCAAAATAGAAGACGTCCGAAGCCTCGCTACCCCGCTATACCACGTGACCGCTTCGGCAAGTGGTTCAGCTCACCCAGAACTTCGGCAGGCATTTAAACTGCCTCAGTGTTCAGTCAAGATGTGGGAGTTTGTAGTAGACTTGCTGTCAGTTGGATAGATTCTAAGAATAGATTGGTTTGCTTTTCCAACCAATCTAGTTGCTTAAAACTAGTTTAGTTAGATTAAACAATGTAATGATCAAAATCTGAGCGAAGCACTGGTTACAGATGTCATGGGTTTTAAGTAGTATTGCTTTCAGTAACATTGTCATCTTGCTAGTGGGGTCAGCTGTAAGAGATGGACTTCCACTCTTGAGGTTGATGGTTTAAGACCCACATCAGACTTTCTAAAGTTGTGATATATATCATATTTTTTTTTGGCTACAGTGACTAATTTGTATTGGTTTGCCCTAGTACAAATATAGATTGGGTAAAAACACTGCCAAAGTTAGATTGGTAGACTGGTTGGTTTGACCAAAAGATTGGTTGAAACCATAACTTCCAACCCGATTAAGACCAAAAACTCTAGAAAAACTATAATGTTTGAATAAAATGACTAATTCCTTTCATTTTGTTTATAAATGCCAAATTTGCACAAGCACTTTCACTGTCTGTTTGAGCTTATTTCACTAAAATGGCAGAAAAACTTTGATTTTTCTCTTCTAAGGCGTTGAACTCATAAAAAACTTACAAATCATTTTATTATACAGGCCAATCATGAACAATTTCAAAAGGAATTTATAAGGGTTAAAATCAAGAAAAACATCCATCCATTTTCAAACACGTTTATCCCAAGTGGGGTCGCAATGGGTGCTGGTGCCTATCTCCAGCTGTCAACGGGTGAGAGGCGGGGTTCACCTCATGAGGCTTCATCTCACCATCACTAGTTGTTTCGTTTTACAGCAGGCGTGCACCTAAACTATTAAGCTACTTGCTTTCAAACCGAGAATGCCACCTCTGTGGGGTTGAAACGATGCAGCTAATGATTTTAGCTATCGTACGTCTGTCTTTAGGCATAAATGCATGTTTTCAATTTCACAGTTAAAACTTTCTATAACAGTTAGCACCAGCAAGCTTCAAAGAATATGATGTTTGTATGGAAACGAGACACTCACCTATCCCTCCACGTGCAGGAGAACTTCTTGCGGATGTAAACAAATATCACGTGACACCATGAGCTCTCCGTTTACATTTAGCATTCTCCAGAGTGCAACTACTCCATTTTGGTTCACGCGCGGTTGCTTCAAACTCGGGAAAGCTAACGCGCCATGTTGAACCAATATGGCGACTGCAGAGCCACGGTTTCCAGGAAATCTACTATTTCCGTTTACGCATGCGCAGTAGGTGTAGTTGAAAAACAAGGGGCTGTCGGCTTGTTATTATTTTTTTGCTCAACATTAGGGTTTGAGCGTCACGCTGAATTGCCCTTCGTAAACCGACGTAAAGCTCAGCTTTCGGGTTTTACTGACAAACGCAGCGGCTACTATGGGTGCCGCTTCGAGCACCGAGGCAGAAAGGGAACCGCTTCTTGTTCCTGCGCCCATTGGGACGACAAACAGCCAGCCAGTCAACAGTCGGGTGTATGGCAGAAGATGGCTGGTTCTGACCCAGTTTTCCTTGCTGGCTCTAATGCAGGGGATGGTTTGGAACTTCTGGGGCCCTATTCAAAACTCGGCTATTAAAGCTTACGGCTTCACTAAGTCTGACATTGCAGTTCTGGTGCTGTGGGGCCCGGTGGGTTTCTTCCCATGGTTGCTGTTTATGTGGCTAATGGACAAAAGGGGTGAGTGGTTCTGATTCGGTACTGTGTGTTCTCTATCGGCTATTATGCTCAAGTTTGACCTTCAGCCTGGTCAATACAGTCAGACGTCTGTTATTGAGATCTTGATGATAAAAAACATTTAAAGTTTGTGATTCGTTATTTTAAATACCACAGTGTTACCTACTGATATCTTTTCTTTTTCCTGATTAGAAATTCAAATGTTTTATTATATTATTATTTTATTTAAAATGTTAAAGTAATTATGGAAAAGGATTGGGGCCACTGAAAAATTAAAAAAAGTTAACTGATTTTTAAATTTCAGTTTAATATGGGGAAAAGGTCAGAATTCTGATATAATCTCAGAATTCCGATTTAATCTGAGGATTCTGACTTCAATCTCAGGATTCTGACTTCAATCTCAGGATTCTGACTTCAATCTCAGGATTCTGACTTTAATCTCAGAATCCTGACTTTAATATCAAAATTCTGACTTTAATCTCAGAATTCTGATTTAATGTGAGAATTCTGACTTTATTCTCAGAATCCTGGCTTTAATCTTAGAATTCTGACTGAATTCTTCTGAATCCTGATTTAATCTCAGAACTCTGATTTAATATCAGAATTCTGACTTTAATCTCAAATTCTGACTTTAATCTCGGAATTCAATCTTTTTTTTAAATTCTGACTTTTTCTCATAATTCTGACTTTTTTCTTACAATTCTGACTTTTTCCCCACATTAAACTGAAATAAAATAAAAAAAATCAATTAACTGATTTTTATTTTTTTTTTCAGTGTCCCTAATCCTCTTCCGTAAGTAAACGATTTAGCGGATGTTCAGATTGCTGATCATGCAATGATAGGAAACAAAATGGGACTAAATATACCTAACAGGATAACTAAAACCTATTTTTAAATTAAATAATTAACATTATTTTTTTTTTGAGACCCATTCTACTGGTTTTGAATAAAATCTTTTGTTAAAAACATATTTCCAATCACTGCACTTTACTTGATGTTTTTTTTAATACCTAGTGGCAATCGGTTGTTCAGATAATGGACATATCATGTACTAAAATATTGAAAAAATGTGTGTATCTTATCTTCAGCTACCACAGTATACATGTTAGATTAAATAATACTACTTATACTTCAGCGATAGTATCAAGGTGGTAGTCTATTGTATCTCTTATACTATATCCATTGGTTCTGCTGTTCTTTTTACATCTCTATGCAGGGGATGAAGCAGACTGAATATGTTTTATCATCATTATCTGTTCCACTAGTGAAAGCAAAATCTGATGGGCTCTCTTTGGCATCAAGGCAATTATTGTTATTGCCACATCGCCAGACAGGACACTGTTTAAAAAAAATAAAAAATAGGCGTAATACTTACTTAATTGTAAAATATATTGTGTATTATAGAATATTAAGTTGTTTGACCCGTCCTTTAGATTTTGAGCTAAATATAATAAAATGTAATATAAAAACTAAACTACACACAGGACTGAGGGATGTCCATTATTCATCAACAGGACATGTATGGAAGCAAGACAGGGATCTGCTGCCCTGGTTAAAGCGCCATATTAAAAACTGCCCTATTATTAGATAAAAATATATATATAGACTAATCTGTAAACTAATAGCATTTTGCATAAAGCTAAGTTGCCGTAGTTGGAGCTACGTGAGGGTTTGCAACATTAATGTTGCATAGAAACGTATGCAAAGTTTAAAACTTAAAATTTTTTTTTAAGAAAGCTCCGGTTATAGAAACATCTGTTCATTTTCGGGAAGAACTTTCAAATTATTATGGGGAAGTTGAAGAACCTGACTTAAGCTTGTGAGTCAGAATGTGCCCCACCTAACCAGTTTACACTGCATCACCTGACACACAGTGTGTCATCCCACACCGAGCTGCGTGATGACAAAAACCACTAACTGAAGTTTTGCTTATTATACTGATTGCAAGCGTGCAAAAGGTTGCAAAGAAATTGTTTTCTCCAATCTCATGAGCGTGATTCATCAGCAGTCAGGAGAATTTCTTTTGCTTGGCTAAAGTTAGCAACAGTCAGCACATTTTCCCTCTTTTTATAAGTGTTAATATTCTCTATGACCCAGTCAGACCTACAGAACGAAGGCTCATATGTATATCCAGACGAACTGAGTGACTGAATCCAGCGAGAACAAGAAATCTAGTTTTCCCAAATTGCATTATCACATTGCGTGACTTTGCTTAAAAGAGAAGTGGCTACTGGCTTAAACTATGTTTGTCCTAATGGATGTTTTTGCTGCATATGTTCGTATTCAGAGACAGGCATGTCTGTAGGGAAAAGGCTTTTGCTCTTCCCCAGAGGTAGATACCGCTCTGTTAACGAGGGAGATGTCACCTTTTAAAGAGAAAAGGTGTTTATTGGGACATTGCAAAGAAGAAGTAATAAGAAAACATTTAAAACTTTAATTTTTAAAATGTTTTAATTAGTTATAGACTCATCTAAAATTCTGATCCTTACATTTAAGCTGTAACATTCTGACTATATTTTGTTAATTTAATGGGATTCTTTGAAGGAAATCAGATATAAAACATTTTGCATCTACCAATGCACATAAACAATTTGCTTGTGTTCAGGTAGTTTTAGATCAGACTACGACTACC